GTGAGGAGGAGGAGAGAGGAGAGAGACGCGACGCGAGCGAGCGAGAGAGTGAGAGGAAGGAGAGGAGAGGAGAGGAACAGGAGAGGAGAGGAGGAGAGAGCAGGGAGAGAGATAGGCGGGAGAGAGCGGAAGAGGAGCGATGAAAGAGAGAGCGAAGAGGACGAGCGAGAGGAGAGCGGGGGGAGCAGAGAGACCAGAAGAAGGAAACACAGAGAGGAGGAGAGAGAGAGAGAGAGGAGATAGAGTAGGGAGAGAATGAGAGACCAGAGACAGAGACAGAGACAGAACAGAAGCGAGAGAGTGGAGAGAGCGAGAGGAGAGGGGGAGAGAGAGGAGAGATGATGATGAAAGAGAGAGAGAGAGAGGAGAGCGAGGGGTTGAGAGCGAGGTGAGCAGATAATGGGGTGAGAGAGTGATGGAGAGCGATCGAAATAGAAGGAAGCAGAACAGAGAGCCGGGGACAGCAGACGAGCGGCGCGAGAATGATAGGAAGAGAAGGGAAAAGGGAGAGCAGAGAGAGAAAGTATCGAGAGAGACGAGACGAGAGAGATGCGAGAGATGAGAGAAAGATGGAGAGAGCGATGAATGCAGAGAGAAGAAGAGCATCCGAGAGATGAGAGCGAGAGAGAGAGAGAAGAGAGATGAGTGGCGAGAGAGGCACGATGAGAGAGTGGCAAGCGTCGAGCGCTAGAAGAAAACAAAATAAAAAATACATGTGTGTGTATTTTTTATTTTATTTACCGTGGTATTATGGGCTTATGGTTTCATGTACAGCAGATAGGCTGTAAGGGCTACGTGTGTCTCCGGCGAGTGTAGATTTACGTTATACCGAGTTATAAGGAAGGAAGCATCTATTCTATTCCTGCATAAATTAACACAGGGAAAAAAGAAACGATTCCACGCGGGAAATTCTCGAATCCTAATTGTGAATTATGAAGAAGCTGCAGGTTTTACAGATTAAGCAAGGCGTATATGAGGAGTGCTGGAGAGATGGATCGCCAGCTATATTGGCTAAGGCTGGGGTATTAATCAGACTCACTCATAGCCGAGAATTGACTGCAACGCGTTTCATATTACTAATGACTACTGACAGTTATTCTATAAGCAGGGGCACGTACGTATGTACGCACCTATAAACTCACCCACGTACTCACGCACGCACGCACGCACGTACACACGTATAAACTCACTCACGCACGCACGCACGCACGCACGTACACACGCATAAACTCAGTCACGCACGCACGCACGGACGCACTCACTCACGCACGCACGCACGTACGCACGTATAAACTCACCCACGCACGCACGCACGGACTCACTCACGCACGTACGCACGTACGCCATATATCACGCTTCTTCTTTGGCTCCCCATCATCTAGCTCTGACTCTTCATATTGCTTCTGCCCATAATTCCTGGGCATGCTGGCACAAGTTAAGTAATGTATTTATCGTATTATGAGTCTAAATTTAAATTCTCCCAACTTTTTGAAGTTGGGTGTCATGCTACATTATATCCAGAGCGTATTAAGTATTATCAGGGGTTAATTATGACAAATTTTATATATTTATGTTATTATAAATATATATTTTGTTTTAATTTGTCATTATTGGGGCCGCTGGTATTATATTATATTGATTATATTCTTATGTTTGTCGGAACGGTACCAATTGTGTGTGTCGATTTCTGTTTTTTTGCTAACGATTATGTTTTAGGGTTTTATTAATCAGTGATATTAGCATCACATGCTGTGAATTAACACACACACACACACGCACGCACACACGCACGCGCGCGCGCTGATTGCGCTGTGCGTGCATACAATGAATTGTCATAAACTGCTACGTTCTTGCCATGGGTAAAGAAAAAACAATATGTAAGCAAAATTCATGTTATGAACTCACTTACCACAACATCTTTAAATCTTCTGTTTCACTTTCAATTGCATAAACAAACACTGACTATAACAACTGCGCTAATATAAGTAATATGCTATATTATCAGGAGTGAATAATAATAAGAATAATAAGAATAATCATCATCATCATCTATTATTATTCAAGCCTGCTATTATGCAGTATAGCAGTATATCAGTATAACAGTACAGCAGTATGGTACTTATCTGTCGGTGAACTTCTGAGAGATCGGTTCAGCAATTGATTATTGATTACATGCATTTATCCGACCTAAATGGATGGATGGATGGATGGATGGACGGACGGACGGACGGATGGATGGGATGGATGGATGGATGGACGGACGCACAGACGAACGGACGGACAATCGGATGCACGGGTGGATGGATAAATGGATAAACGGACAGACGGATGGAGTGATGGAAATAAAATACACGCACACGCACGCACACGCACGCACACGCACGCACGCACGCACGCACACATAAGTGTACGCACAACAAACGGATAGCTATATACTGCTTGCATGAAAAATCTATTTTTAATTTATGTTGCACCGTTATATAGTCATGTTAGTCATGTTATATTAAAGGAAATCAAGCACACATGCAGTGTAAAGGTCAGATTTCGCTATGATGGTGATCTATTTGATCTTCGAAGACTGAAGTCAAAGACCAAAGTTCTTACGGAGTACATCAGAGAGGCTCAATATGCAGACGATATAGCCATATTCAGTGACACTTCAGCGGGACTACAGTTGTTACTCGCAGCTTACAACGACCTTGCTAAGAAGATGGGACTACGTATTAACACTGCAAAAACAGAGACCATGTGCATTGGTACTGAAGCTGAGTTCTTCATAGCTGACACCAAGTTGGCGAACGTCACCCGCTTCAAATACCTTGGCAGCTATGTAACAAATGACTGCTCTATGAAAGAGGAACTTGCAGCTCGTATCCAAGCAACATCATGTGCATTTAGTCGACTACGCCAAAGAGTGTTCATCTCACGTGACCCAACCATAAACACTAAAACCAAAGTCTACAACCAG